AGATGCTGGTCCCATTCCAAGATACTCCTGTGGAAGTAGAAGAGAACACAGAGCTACCTGACTACCTGCCTGAGGATGAAAGTCCCACAAAGGAGCAGGACAAGGCAGTGTCCCGGGTGGGCTCCCACCCTGAAGGTGGAGCTAGCTGGCTGAGTACAGCTGCAAACTTTCTATCCAGATCATTTTACTGGTGACTTCATCTTCAGTTTGGGGCTCAAGGACTGTGAACCCACAAGGGGCCAGTTTTCCATTGTTGTGGTGAACTGTCAAGTGCAATTTGCAATAAGTTATCATGAAAAGTTTTTAGATTACATGATTGTGTATGCTGCATTTTACATTTTCTTGGACATTTTATTCCATCAAGTGGTCAAAAGAACAGACTACAGGTGGGATTAATTTGCTTGGGAAAGTATTTTGGTTTTGTTTTCCTTTAATTGCATCACTTTTTAAAAAATACATGGGTCCACTGTTAAACCAAACATGTATGTGCAGCTTTACATTTTATTTATATGAAGCACGAGATTAGGAAAATTCATTTTCTCCTCAAGCCTCAGGATCTCTCTGAAGAGAAGGTTTTTTGTAGTCCAAGTTGTGCATGAATTACTGAACAGTTTTCTCTGCTTTTCATGAACAGTACATGCTTTGGTATTCTTCACTGACAGTTGAAAACATTCTGGTTTATTCCCCTTTTGTGCCTTTTTAATTTGCCAACCATGTTTATAGAAAGGACAGTACTAATGACAGTTTGCAAACAGATTTATTCATGGAGACATAATTATCTAAAAACAACTCAATACAAATGTTATTGTTGTTTTAAGAATAATGCAAAATCAATCAGAAAAAGGAAAGGTGTAGCAAAGTGCTTTTGGACCTATTTGGATATGACCAAATGTGGATCTGATTTTTTAGTGTTCACTGTTTATGTCAGCTCAGGAGATGATATTGTAATTATAAATGGTCTCTTGGCCTTACATTGAGATTACAGAACATGCCCTGCTAGGGGAAAGAAAAGAAAGAAAAAATAGTAGTAAAGAACTGACAGACTTGAAAAAGGAAAACAAAAATTAAATGCCTGTGATGCCATAGTGCCACTCTAATAGTATTTAACTTTAAAATATGAATTGCTTAGCTGAAACCTATTCAGTAGGTATTTCTTTGTATTGCCTTTTGTAAACTTATTATGAAAGTGCTGCAGTTATATTGGACAAAAAAAGAGACCCAAATTATTGCTTATAAAGAGGGAAAGCCAGCGTTGGTCACTTAATCTTGTTTCTTAAGACCAGTCAGAAAAAACGAACTTCAGTGAAGGTAAGACACACACACACACACACACACACACACACACACACACACACAGAGATGGTGTTTTTGGGTAGGCAAGAGCAAATTACATCTATGTAATACATTAGTAAAGCTCTAAAATACTTGGCAATCATATTTTGTTTTGGAAGTCTAGCTATATCCAGATATGTTTTAATGTTAACACGATTAAAAACCTAATAGAAATTGAAGTTCATTTTCATCACCATGTAGAGCTGCTATTTTACTACTTGGAGAATGTGAAGGAAAAATTGGGCCCTGGAAGATTTCCTTATGTTTTCATCATTTCTCTTAGAGAAAATTAAAATCATCCCCTGATACTGGAGCAAAGTAATTGTAAAATACTATCACCAGAAAGAGCCTTGAGTTCCCTAACATTGGGATATTCTGGAGGGAGAGAGAAAGAGGTATTGAGGGTATTGAAGACAGTAGTTTTTCATGCGTCTGGTTTCTGATTCATGGAATATGCACAAACAAAATATATGCTTTCAGGGCACATGCTGCTTTAAATGCATACTACTACCTGCTGCCAGAATCAGATGTGTTGAAAAAAGCAAACAAAACCACCTCCTTTCTACAGCCATTAAAGCAAAGTTTACTTTCTGTTTTAACAGATTATTTTATTTTGCCTTGCCACACATCTGCTTATTTAATAAACTACAACCTTTTGGTAGTAATGGTTCAGTACAAGTAGATTATTTCAGCTTGATGTTTTTGTGTTCCAAGTGTTCTTTTATTCCAGGTCTTATACAGCAGTTAAGGCGAATGTTATGACAGTTTTTGAAATATGTTGTAAAATAATAAAATGTAACATAGTTAAAACTGAAA